TTCAATTTTATTTATTTGTATAGATTAGGAGGTACGATTTAGTTAGTATTAGTAATAAGTAGCTTTGCTTTATTATCCCCTGCAGTGGGCGATAAGGAGCTGATGATGAAGTAGATTTGCACCTTTAAAGTTTTTAGGTTAGTTCAAATAGGGCCTCAATTTTAACAATAGCTACGCCACTGATTCTCAGCATACTTTACCTTGTTTTATTTCTGTTTTGAATGTAAATGTGATCCCCTCTGTTCTTCTACTTGGCTCCAACAAATCCCTCTAGATTTGGATAACCCGTAGACTGACTGGCTGAACACGCGCCGATAGCATCAAAACCAAAACATAAAAGTAAAAAAAGTAAACAGCCTATAAGTGCGAATGTTGAACAAAAGCCTCCTCCCATTTCCTAGAGTTAAGTAATAAGTTCGCCACGCTAATGAAGTGAAATTTGGAATTAAAATGCAAAAAGAAATAGAAATATAAAAACCAATAGTACAGTTTGACGGCTCCGTGGCGCAGTGGCTCGCGGCCCCAAGCGCAACTACTGATTGTTGCTAATCAGTTGTTGCGCTTGGGGCCGCGGGTTCGAATCCCGCGCGGAACAAGTATTTGTATGGCCTACAAATAATTGTTCCAGGTCTGGATGTTTGTCCTTGTGGAATTTATGTTTGTAAACTGCCTCCACGACACAGGAGAAAATCCTAGTGTGGGGGTAACGTTTAAAAAAAATAAGATGATGCTATATAAATACCTCCTTATCGCCTTTTATTTAGTGAGGTTCCCGATAAGTGGTTAAGATCATAGATATATAAGATTATATTATATCTATGGTTAAACGCTTAAGATCGGTATTTTGTGTTACCACAGAATAAATAATAGTAATACGTAGTGTTACTTGCTTTTGTTCTGCTATAGAGGATATCTATCTATCGAAGGTTTTTGATTTGATTATTTGAAATCGTAGCGCATCTCTAAAGATACTTATCTTCACGCACAATCCCTGACGGGGTAGCCAGAGAGAACAGATCGCCAAGTGTCACGATCCTTACAAACCTCTTTCGCTTCTTTCAGATTCATTATCTTCTTCATGCATGCACGTCTAGGTATCCGAGTACTTTTGACCCTACCCTCTTCGAGCAATTTGCTCACATGGTCTTCAAAAGTTAGTCTCGGTCTACCTCGACACCTTTTAATATTAACTTTCGCGCTATATATTTTCTTCACCATTCGGTCTTCACTCATTCGCTCAACGTGCCCAAACCACCGAAGCACGCCCTTATCAATTTTTGTGATAAGGTCATCTTTCAAACCTGCCATATTGCGAATCTCTTCGTTTCGCTTTCGGTCGGCCATGGTAACGCCGCACATTTTACGAAGAGATCGCATCTCCACTGCATTCAACTTACTTTTATGCTTCTTCTGGCATACCCAGGTTTCGCTGCCATATAACAAAGTCGGTACCAACACTGCGTTATGTATTGCAAGGCGTGCACTCTTCGCTACGCCTTGCTTTTTGACTAACGCAGTCAGGGCACCATTGACTTTGTTCCCGGCAGCGACACGCCTGTCCACATCTAAATCACATCTTCCATCCCGGCTAAAAGCACTCCCCAAGTATACAATTTCATTTACCTGTTCTAGACATTCCTGATTTACCCATATTTCACACTTCGTTCTCTCTTCGTCCCTTTCAAATACCAGAACCTTAGTTTTATTAGCATTCAAACGGAGACCTTTAATTTCACATTCTTCTTTCATACACGTGACTAATGCCTGCGGTTCTGCCTCTGATGGTGCAATAAGCACTGCATCATCAGCGTACAGTAGACAATTTACTTTTATGTCACCCAATTTCACACCCAAACAGCTATCTTTCAGCTTCTGTAAACAGCTGTCGAGATACAGTATGAACAGCCAGGAAGACATGACACAACCCTGCTTTACGCCCGTTTGGACGTCAAACATGGGTGACAGGTCATGCCCTACCCGCACACAGGCTTTACAGTCACAGTAAAGAGACTGCACAGCCCTTAGCAATCGACCATCCACACCATACCCCGGCAACAGTTCCCACATTTTCTTCCTTACAACCTTTTCAAATGCTTTCTCAAGATCCACAAAAGCACAGAAAATCCTCTGGTTAGCAGCCAGAAGCTTTTCCGTGATCATGCGGAGAGAAAACATTTGATCCGTGCATCCTCTTCCAGGTCTAAATCCGCATTGTGCCTCCCATAGAAATCTTTCCGATTTCTCTTGCATCCTACGTGTCAAAACCTTCGAGTAAACTTTACTTGCTAAACTGGTCAAGCTGATCGCTCGATAGCACCCGCAGTCAAAATGTGAACCTTTACCTTTATATAAAGGCACAATGACTGCGGATCGCCAATCATCCGGGACATCCCCCGTCCGCCAGCACAAATTGCACAGCAGATGAAAGCTGTCCCAGACGCGAGGCCCACCATACTTGACCATTTCAGCAGTAACTCTGTCAAGTCCCGCAGCCTTACCACATTTCAAACTTCGAATCGCACGTTCAATCTCTTTCATACTGATGACCTCAGTGTCATCGAGGTCCGGCTCTGGGGTACCAGTCACGGCGTCATCCTCGGATCCCTCACTAAGATCATCACACGCATACATTTCTCTATAAAATTCGCTCCATCGCTGCATGACGTCCGATTTTTTTGAGAGGACGTCATTAGTTCTCGAAAGCACTTTGTTCATTCTTAAGGCCGTCGCACCACTTCGGGTCCTTCCAACCTCTTTCCAGAAGAGTTTGGAGTTCTCCTTAAAGTTGTGCGACAACCTTTCGTCCGCTTCCATTCTACACCTTTCACGCACTTCCTCAATCAGTGCTTTCGTGTGAACTTTCTACAGCCTATATCTTTCTTTCATCTTCTCTCTCATATCCTTATCATTACTAGAGGCCAAGTAGTCTAACCATGCTTTCTTCTTCTTCTTTACAGCTTCTTTCACTTCATCATTCCACCATGCATCTCTTCTTTTACTACTGCCTCTTTTTATTGTTCCACACACTTCTTCCGCTGCACTTACCATTCCATCCCTAAGTTTCTGCCAAGTTCTTTCTACACATTCTTTTCTGCCATCGATGGTGTCAAGCTTTTCGGCTACCCTCGCATGATATTTGTCCCTAGTATCCGCTTCCTGAAGCTTCCAGCTTCGGATGCGACAGACCGACTGTGGTTCTGTTACTGCCGTCCGGTAGCGCCAACCCGCGAACAGACCCCTAAATCTAGTAATCACTAGATAGTGATCCGTTCCCAGGTCAGCACCCCTGAACACTCGCGTATCCATCACCTGTTTTCGCAGTCGATCATCCACCAGGAACAAATCGATCATACTTCTCTCATTCTTTCGTTCTCTAGTATACATATGGATTTTCTTGTGATTAAACATAGTGTTTGTCACAAGAAGACCCTTTTCCTTGCACACCGCCAGTATAAGCTTGCCAGCATCATTAACCCTTTTATCGCCAAACTTTCCAAGTACCGACTCGTACCCTGGTCGAGCGGTACCAACCCATCCATTCAGATCACCACATACAACAATTCTTTCGTTTCCCCTAGCCAAATCTAGAACTTCTCTTACATTCTCCCAAAACTCCTCCAGCCCAGCCCTGGACGACGAAGCTACCGGCGCATAAACAGCCAAAAGGAATAACTTCGTCAGTCCCAATTTAAAGCGAACCCAGAGAAGTCTTGAGTTCACAACCTTATATTCAGTCATAACATCGACCAACCGAGAAGACAGTAGCACCCCCACTCCCTGGCAGGCGCACTCGCTCTCCGGGACTCCGGACCATAGAGCTAACGCCCCGCCAGGGAGCTCTTCAGTACCACTGCCCTTCCGTTTGGTCTCCGACATACACACGACATCTAATTCTCTTTCTTTCATTATTTCGATCAACTCATTCATCTTATCTCTCATGTCTCCTCTAACATTCCACGTGCCAACTCTGCACTCTGTCCTCCACCTTCCGCCGTGTCGGGCTGTGCGTGACGGGTGGCGGTCCCCATCGCCGCTTTGCACGCTGCATTCCACACCAACGGGGACAAGCTGGTGTGCGTCGCCTTGGGGGGACGCCCTAACCCTTGTTGGCGCAGCTGAGTAGAATTGCAGCCCTGAAAAGGGCTGGCAGGGGTCGCGACGAGCACGCTTCTACAATGACCCCCAAACTCTCTAAAGATGATAGTGAATAGTGAGTAAACATTGCAAATTATGTTAGTAAACTGCCTCCATGATACAGGAGAAAATTCTGGTGTAAGGGGGTTACGTTTTTTCAAATAAAAAATAAAAAAATATTTTGACATAATTTAATAATTTACTATTTAAAGTTTTCGAATTCCAAGTTGAAGTAATTAATAAATAACATGTTAGATACAACTATATTTATATAACATGTTAGATACAACTATATTTATATGGCCATTTTAATTAACAAATTAATGTTATTTAAATTATTGCCTTAATTAACTACTATACACAGCGGTTGTACCTAATAGTTGGATACTTAAAAATACGATACGTACGGTTTGTAAATAAATGTTTTCATTTTTATAACAACAATTAATTTTTATATAAAAAAAGCACAACAATGTTGGGCACTTATTTATTAGTGTAGGAATCCGATTGGGTCGATATGTATCATTCAGAATTTCGGTAAAGGTTGGCAAGAAAGTATGCCAAAACTAGGGAAGGTACTTTTTGTCGCGGGAAAATATTTAAGTCGGAAGCGAATCTAATACTTTTTTGTTCAATCGGGTGCATTGGCTCCTTTCGTATCTATAATCGCACTTTTCTGGCGTGCTAAGTCTAGCATCTACTTGCAAACTGTGTCAGAGACGAGAAACGACATATAGATTTTGGATAAATTAACCATACGAGAATTTGTATTGAAAATTAAAAAGCGATTAAAGTGTAAGAAATTCTTCAATACTATCAAGGGTGGGCAAAGAGGTTTCTAGGATGGGGATTGCCCACCATTGCCATCATCTAGCTACGCCTATGTTCGCAGGGGTGACAACGCAACTGTGGATGCGACTGTTTGAAATGTGCTTGGGGCTTGTGCCATGTCCATGGGCCGTAGTAGTCGGTTGGTCAGGAGAGTGCGGGTGCATGTGGTGGTGGTGGTGCGGGTGTGGGGGCGGGGAGGGGTGCGTGGTGGTTGTGTGCGGCGCGCAGGTGTCGCTCGAGGTCGCGGCGCCGCGCCAGCGTGCGGCCGCAGCGCGGGCAGGAGTGCGCCCCCCCTCCGCCTCCCCCTCCGCGCCGTGCAGCCGCACGTGCTTGTTGAGGTTGGAGGGGTCACCGAACGCGCGCAAGCAGTGTCGGCACCGCAGCGGCTTGTAGCCCGTGTGCGTGCGGATGTGTATCTTGAGGCCGTACTTGCGCGAGTACAGCTTGCCGCAGTACAGGCAGGCGTGGCCGCCGCGGGATCGTCCCCACGCCGCCGCGAGCGCCTCCGCAGCCTCCGCGGCTTCGGCTGCCAGTGGTAGCAGTGGCAATAGTGGCAGCGATGGCCAAGCCGTCGCGGACGCGCCGTATGGCTGGAACGCGGAACTCCGGCCCGTTTCCGCCCACTTTAAACGCTCGATGCACGTCTCCCAGAAAGTAGCGAGAGAATACTCTCTACACGATAGGAACAGGTGCACCTTCAACGTATTCGGTTGCTCGAATTCGACGCCGCAGTCGTGGCACACGTAATTATTTTTACCTGCAAGAATTGTAATCTGTTCTGTAATGCAATCTTAATAACACCAAAGTCAATTTCGATCCAAAATAAATTTTTACACCTTATTTTATAGTAGGTGTTTTTATTATATAAACCTCCAAAGATATCACTCTAATAGATACTTTACTGCCATAATTTTCCAAAAATGTAGGTATTAACAGACCAACACACCCATAACTCACCACACTTAATAGGTGGAACACCTATATCCGATTAGAAGCCCACGAAAAAAAAAATACAAAAATTTGATATATTATGCAAGACAAAAACCGTTTTCCATAAAAATACAGTTATGAAATAGTTGTCGTAATGGTAAACTGGCATGATACACAATACGTGATTAAAACGTTTTACACAAAAATAATAACATTTGAAATACAAAAATCTTATGTCATTTTATTGTTTGACTTTCAATTGTTTTCAGTGCTTACATTCATTAGTAGGTATTTGGTTAAACATAAGCAATAAACATAACAAATTAGAGTTATTTTCGGTTACGATTTCCGACGTGGATCTAATGCCACAGGGACAGCTCGTAATATAATATCAATGCTGCCTTTGGAGAGAATACGACTTATGAACGCACTGAGCGTTTTTGGTTTAATCGCTTTCGTACTGGAAATTTCAACTTAGTTATATACCCGTAATATTGACTCATTTGTATCAAATTGAAAATCTTGAAAAATTAATCCATGAATTAACTGATTTGTTCAGTAGATACAGAAAAAGTGGGATTTCGGATAGAATTGTGACAAATAATGAAAGTTAAATTCTCTACAATAATCGGAAGCATAAATCGCAATCACTGAACCCAGGGCAAATACAGCAACAATGTCATGCACCATGCAACACAGCAGGTTGTGGTACAAAATGCATTTTTATAGGATAAGGGTGACAAACGAGCACAGCCTACCTGATGGTAAGTGGATGCTGTAAATATAATGAATAAATTAGTATAGAAGAGGAACCTTGAATGTTCTTCAAGGAGAGGAATGGCATGTGCAGTAGCGCCAGCGCGGCGTCGTCGAACCACAGCTGCAGCTCGTGCAGCGGCGCCGCATCGGTGGCCAGGCGCAGGCGCAGCTGGGCGTGCTGCGTGCTGTCGTGCTTGCTGGCGAGCTGCGCGGCGGCGTGCTGCGCGCACAGCAGCAGCTGGGCGTGCGGCGCGGCGGGCGCGAGGCGCGCGCTCACGGCCGCAGCCTCCGCGCCGCCGCGAGCGCACAGCCCGCCCGCTGCGTCCAGCTCCACGTACACCTGTGCAAACGAAACAACAACATCAACCATCAACATCACCCGACAGCCCGACAACCCGACACCATCCACTGAATTTTACAATTTTAAAGAGAGGCTTCCTGCTTTAAATTATACTTTTTAATGCTTTTGAATTATTGACTAAAATTATTTTTACGGATTTTATTGGGATTAATTTTACTTATTTTTAATTCTTGATGTTTCCATATTATTATTGCTATTAAATAAAAAATTATAAATATATAATTGTGTTTAAATTGGACTATTTCGTGTTATAATAATAACTACAAGGAAAAAAGAGATATGGAATGAGCATTCAAATTAATTTCGGGGAGTTATTTAGTAAGTCGTCGCACACATTTTTTTTAATATAATCTACTTTTATTATAGTTTTATTAATGTTAAAGTTCCTTTGCCTCCGCCTATGGCGTTGTCGATTCCCGCCCCTTTAGTAATTGGACCGCCAAACATAAGGTACTGAGTCCACAGTTGTTTTTCAGTATTAAAGTTATAAAAAGCTAGTAAAAGGCAAATTCTACAAGTTACTTAGCCTTAAAAAGTGACAAGTCACTATTAGCCTTTTTGTATTTAATATTGTTAAAAGGTATCTACGAACTGCATTTTTCTAGTGTATTTTTCTAATATAAGTGAAAACGATCTAACAATCCATCCGATGTTAATGATTACTGTGTCCTATGGAAATTCGCAGCCAAGTTCAAACAAAGAATCTCGCATATATATCATAACGTTTGAAGATTAAGATGAAATGTCTTACAACCTATAATTATATTTAGTTCAGACGGTAGTAGCATAGGAAGGGTTAGTGCCAACGTAGATGGACTTCTAGGCAGATAATCATACGCGGTGGAGGAATGCTGCAGCGATTAGTATGCAGCACGAATGCGTCGGCTCGACCAGGAAAGGAGCACCCTCGCACAGAATACTAGCGTGAAATAGTTGCATGATGCTGCTGTGTTTCACAAGCTGTGACTACAATTGTAAATCCTTGTTAATGAAAAGCCATTTCATTTTTTGCCTTTGGGGTAAAGACGCATCTGCTTTTTCGTTCTTAATCGTGGATAGATGTAGGTATTTATAGACCACAATATCACCACTTACTGTGAGTTGTATGCTTGTCATCCTTATCTTTTAGAAATAAGGAGCTCTACAAGCTAGTCGTGTAGTAAAGCAAGAAGAAACACTTTTATTTTGGCCTCAAATAGTTGATGTATAATATGTACAAATATATAAAAAACGAAAAATATAAGAACATTGTCATTAACAGCCTGCGGTAGTTTACTGCTGGACATAGGTCTCTCCTAAGGCGAGCCCTGTCTTCGGCTACGTCACAGCTCGAGTAGCGGTAAATCACAACATTGAGTTTCAGTGGTGGCCAAAGCCTTGAAACAAACAGTCTAAAGAAAAACTATAGCAGTGTAAAGGATATATATTTGGGTTACGTACGTTGTGTGGTGCAAGGAGGGCTCGGTGTAACGCGACACGCAGGCGTGTGACATCAAACGCCGGCGACGCCGCGCCGGCGCGTAGTCCGCGCCGCGCCAACGTACGCATGCCGCTGCACGTGCCGCAAGCGCTACAATTGTCGCAGGTGCTGCACGTGCCGCAAGAACTGCACTTGTCGCAGGTGCTGCACGTGCCGCAAGAACTGCACTTGTCGCAGGTGCTGCACGTGCCGCAAGCGCTACACGCGTCGCAAGCGCTGCACTCGTAGTACACCCTGCACTTGCAAGCGCTAAACACCTAGCCCTTCCTACATTTGCTGCGCGCGCTACACTTGTAGTACGTCCTGCACTTGCTACACTATGCAAGCGCTAAACTCGTAGCCCTCCATGCACTTGTCGCGAGCGCTACACTCGTAGTAGGCTCTACACATACTATATTCTGCACGTGTTATAATCGTAGCTAAACTTGCTGCACGCGCTACACTCGTAGTACGCCCTGCACTTGTTTTACTGTATATGCACTATATTCGTAGCCCTCTCTGCACTTGTTGCACTCGCTCCATTTGAAGCCCCAGCTCGATCGTCGCCCCTTGGTGCTCCAATGATAACTAATCCGCTCAGCCTTACACTAAGGTTCCTTCTAATATCAAACCCGTAGACCAATTCTCCTTTACGTCTCGAAGATCTCAGTCAAATCTTAATTAAATGCTTGTATAAATCAACCGACTATCCCGGAACAAGTGCAGAGGGATGTCCGGCTGCAGGTATGCGAGTGGCGCGTGCGCCGGGCCCGCGCAGTATTTACGCGGCGGAGGGTCGCACTCCCTCAGCGCGGCACTCCGCCCTCTGACCGCCCCTAGCACTCGGGTACATATTGTTTTCAACCCCGCTATCAAAATATCCGTAAAGAAAAACATCACCCCACAAATTAAATCATCAAAATTATTTATCCAAGTGTTAAAATCCTTCATTTAAAACGTATTACCATTTCGTACCAAGTGTACAAAAATAAGTTAATGCCTAGTGTAGTGTGCACTTCATATCGAACATTGTTAGTTGTTACATTCAATATTCGATATGAAGTCGGAGAACTTTATTAGTAAATTATTTTAATCTCTTATATAAGGTCACGGACACCAGCAAATGGTTAAATTATAATTACGAGTACTTAAATAAAAACACCTTTAATCTGGGCGGCAATTTATTTAGAGGGAAAATTATTTATAATTTTTAGTTATTTAGAATTAAATTAATTTTATATATTACGCTAAAATTTCAAGCTATCAATCATCAGATCATTACAGCCTATAACAGACTACTTTTAAACAAAGGCGTCCTCCATAGCTTGCCTCAAGGAGGATTTTGCCATAGTTGCCATGCTTGACCGGCGGGTCAGCAACTGCAGTTTTTTATAATTTTGAGTTGTTGTCAAGAAGATGGTGCTGCCCGTCTCCTGTTTCAGTTTCTCTCTGTCGTCTCTCATGACACCCGCAGCCACTACACGGTTGAGTAATATCAATTAGTTTTTTTAATTAACTAGCTCAAAGAGAAACGCTGTGGCATTTAGTTTTGTTTCGTCGTCTTGTAATGCACTTAGTTTATTCTTAAAACTTTATCTGCTTTAGCGGCCCGTAGAAGTCCTCTGTTAGATCTAGGCCTCTTCCATTGTAGAAATAATTTGCTTTGATAGTTCCGCTCCCGTCCATGCTGCCCGACCGCGGCCTGAGTGTTCAACGTCAAGGGTACACGACATTGTATGCCGCCTTATCCTATCTTTCGGAATTTCCTATAATCGCCTCTTACGACACCCACAGGATACAGGACGAAATTCTTAAAATGAAATTTTAAACCGTTACCGTTACAGCCTATTAGAGTACACTGCTGAACATAAGCCTCCCCCATAGATTGCTTCATAAGTGGAGGTTTACCACAGTTGCCACGGTTGGCAAACGATTTGGCAACCGCAGTTTTTTTATTTTAATACTTTTTTTAAATAAAACTAATTTTACGGATTTTATCGCGTATATTAACTTATTTTTATATTCCCGACGTTTCGGGTGCTTTCCAGCACCCGTGATCACGGTGCTTTCCAGCTAAGCAAAATTAGTTTTATTTAAAAATGTGTAGTGTTCGCGTAAATATAAGAAATCATTATTTTTATACTTTATTAGGAAGACGCTTCTGCCCATCCCCTGATTTGCTTCCCTCTGTCGCCTCTACGATACCCACGGCATGATATGGAGTAAAACTGAAAACTATTATAGAATCTCAGGTAACAATAGCAATATGACATTGATTTATGGGATCGATGAGGCGAGATCTATAAGGACTTTTAATAAACCATGTTGCGGCGGCGTAAGTGAATTTAATGTACCACCTACTACCCGTGGGTAACATCTCGTGGGTGTTGTAAGAGTCGACCGAGGGAAATCAAACAGGAGACGGACAGCAGCATCATCCTCAAACACCTAAAATAATAAAAAAACAGTGTTTTTTTTATAGACTGATGGTAAGTGGATACTGAGGCCCATATACATATACATCTATCCTCGATTAAGAATGAAAACGTAGATGAGCTGTCACCTCTGAGAACTAAGATAAAATGCCTAGTTACCAGTAAAAAGAGGTCTTTTGTTCTACGATTATACATTCACCATACGAAAAACAACATAATTAAGCTGTTATTTCACGCTGCTATGCTGTGAGAGCGTGGTCCTACCTCGGTCGAGCCGTCCCATTCGTGCTACAGCCATAATATAGCTGCAGCGTGGCTCTATCACGTTACAACGTGCTTGCCAAGCGTGTCAATTAAGGCTAATATCTGCCCTATGAGGCAATCTATGGAATGGCCTATGTTTAGCAGTGGACTTTTGATAGCCGGTCTGTAATGAAGCAATGACTAAATAAAGATGACAAACAAACATAGTGTATAACGCAAACCTCCATCAAGAATTCACTAGTATTGAAACGTTTCTTTTGCGAGACGTCATTAGTGATGTTAATCCATCCATCCATCCATTACAGCCTGTATAAGTCCACAGCTGAACATAGGCTTCCTCCATAGATTGACTTATAGGGGAGACCTCGACATGTCGCGACGCTTGGCAACCGGGTGGGCAATCAACCCGCCTGCCAAGCGCCCGCTTAGTGATGTTATTATTCGGAAGATTTGCCTAAGTCTTGATCGAAAACCGTATCCAAATTCCATGACGTTTCTTCAAATAGGTTCCAATAAAGGTCCCACTTTGTGGCAAAGTTCCGGTTATAGCAGTGGCGCAGTATGGGTTGCCGTCGCCCTTCCCGCTAGAACTGGCTTTTCTTTCTTAATCGAAGCGCCCTAAAACCCCTCCTCCGGTGCCATGGCCTCCTGCGAAAAGTGGCGCAGCAAGGGGGATGCCCCTTGCTGCGCCACTTTCACTCGCAGTCCAGATATTATATTCTGTCTGTTTGTGGTTAGTAGTTGACGATTATGTAGTAAAATAGTCAATATTTAACTATAATACGTGTAATATATATGCAATAAAAGATGCAATAAAATTATGAACAAATTTATTACACATTTGAAATTTACATATTACTATGATATGAACAAAATAACAATAGTTTGCCGCATAATGGCGGTAATAAAATCCATCGACCCACTTTGTTCCGTAGGACTCGAAAAAGAGGACTGGAAAGGTAAAAAAGACGCAACGTCCTTCAATACGATGTAAAATACACACACATACACTCCGCCTGGACAAGCTCTAGGCAAATTCATTGTATAATAGAAGGTCAATGTCCATCGTTGAGTTGTAAAGAACTAACAGAGAATGGTAAATAACAACAGCGTACTTAAACACATAATTTAGCTACTAAACGATATTGCTATAACCAGATGAGAGAGTGACAAACATTCTCATGTGTAAGATGGTTGATATGGAACAAATTGTAAAGTAACTCGTTAACATGACCTTTTTTCTACTTCCTTCATTGTCCTTCTTCATATTACGCTTTTTAATCCCTGTGTTTGTAAACATTGTTGTACCCGAATTGTGTTCTATTGAAGGTTCAAAATAAAAATCTTAGGGATGCTAGTGGGAAAGGACTTAAGGAAAAGTCTTTTCCCAAAATTGTTGGAAATTGTATTTAAATTTTCTTCAATTTTTCAAACTCTTGCTTTTAGTAAATTCATATCGTTCTAAAATATTTGCAATGATATGTTTTTTTATTCGATGGCGCAGATAGCAATTAATTACAAAACTACGAGAGTATATGTATGTAAATTATTTTTGTATATCTTCTTTATGTCTTTGTATCAGTAACCGGGAAAACGTAATGTAACACTGATAAATGCAGTATGCATTTGTGTTACTGTATATCCTGTTACTGTGTTCGTGCACCGAAATGTGCATGTATTTATAATATTACAGTCTGGGTATTTCATCACGATCAATAACGGTTTATGGATGGACGAAAGACACATTTAGTTTATTGAGACATAAATGTAATTAAGTTCATTTCAGTACAAATTTACCGCAAAAACATTGAGCGATATTTCAGAAAAGCACTCTCGCTTGCCTTCTACATTTGCATCAAAATATCCGTGAAGATATAATATTCGTAGCTACGAGTATTGCTCTACGGTCTACGCCATCTACGTTACTCGTACTGCCGTTACCGTTACAGCCTAATAAAGTCCACTGCTAAACATAGGCCTATGAACATGGGTTCAGCAAATTTACTACATTGTTTATTAAATATTTCTACTCTAATTATTAAAAAATTACAAATTAAATTTATTTTGATACCACGAGCACAATTTAAAAGGGGTCCTTTATGTTTATTTTGCGCTCGTAGCGTATGCTACGGGGCTACGACTCGCAATATAACCGACGTTGTTTCGAGACTCGAGAAGATTTACAACTTTACTATTAAGTTTAACATAAACTACGTGAGGTAACTATTTAATTTAAGCCAATAATTAATAAACATTAACATTTTTATTTATTTCATATCAGCTTTATAAATTAAAGTTAACAATAATTTATTTACTCCCAACAGTAAAACGAATGTTAATGGTCGAATATCAAACCAATTCAAAATCACATATAGCGAACTGTCATATTATAACCTACTCAAAATATATACTCCTCATTAGTTTTATTCGTGTCTGAACAAATTATTCTGCTCGTCACTGCAGATTTAGTTCCAAAACCACTTCGGAGCGTATCCGATATTCACAGGTACTAATAACACTTACAATTTAATTGAATTTAATATTATTTACAATACATCTATGAGGTTTTGATAAGGGTGCGTACATTAAAATTAATGTACGCCATTTTCACCTTATGAACATTTTACTAAACGCAATAATAATTTTGGAGCCACTTGTTCGTTTATACTTCGAAGTATACACATATATTTTACTGGCTTACTCAAATTGGCCAGGTACACAGCAAATTTGTTTCCACACACTTAGGTGTAATGTCCGAATACATAACGAGTTGACAAGTATCCCCACGGCTCCCGGCACTTCTACTCGTCGAGACCTGCAAAGATGACATTCATAAGTCTAAAGTAAATATTATTATGAAAGAAATAATTTATTATCTTAATATTAAACGTAATGTAATCGTGTAGTGGCGGTGTAAGACTATCCACTAACTTGTATCATTCCATGGGCGTCGTAAGATCCGACAGAGGGAAATAAATCAGGAGATGGGTAGCAGCGTCTTCCTAATAACGACTAAAACCAAAAAACCTCGGTTGCCAATTTGCCTGCCATGTGTGGCAACTATGGCTCTCCTCCCTACTATTCCTCTACCTTACTAACGAATCCTCCCTATAAGCTAATCTGTGGAAGAGGCCTATGTTCAGTAGTCGTATTTCATAGGCTGTAAGGCATGAGAAGGGACGTTGTTGTTTAATATATTAACATACTCTATGTATCCTATAATATGTATATTAAAGTATGTATGTAATTACACCTGTCACAATATTTCAGCATACCAAGGGTTGACTAGCAGATAATGTATCAAGCCCGCCCTTTCTTACGTTAAGTTTAAATAAATAAATAAATTAGACACAATTGATGTATACAACAAAAATTGTTATAGTTAAACTTATACCGCCTTATTCCAAAACACGAACTTAATATAGTACTGGAGTTAGTAATATATTTAAACCATAAACTAAGAAAAACGTTATTACAAAACGAAGATTATCTCTGGTTCAAGGATTATCTATGGTATTAAAGTTAATCTTTCGAGACCCCTAGTTTAGCTATGGTACTAACCTTTCTATATAGTTTGTGGTACTCTATACTAACCTCAATTTCGGTACTTCTTAATTTGAGGTGAGCGTTGTTTTCATTTGGTGTTATTAAAATCGTTAAAAATGGATATTAACATGATTGACTTGATGGATTTAGAAGATTTGGACATGCTGGAGACCACTCGGCGACCTGATAGACATCGACATCGTGTGAATCCGTTTGAATTGAGTGACGAAGATTTTAGGTATAAGTATAGGTTCTCAAAACGTTTCGGAGAAAAAATAGTGGGTATCTTACGTGAGGATTTAGTGCACGACCCTCGAGGGTGCCCATTGAGTCCTGAAATTCAAGTGGTTTGTGCATTACGCAACTGGGCTCGCCATGAAGTAAGTGCTGTTTATAATCTTGGTGGGGTCAATGTACCTAACATTACGCTAGATAAAAAGCCAAATAATACATATTATTGTTTTATTCGTAGATTCAAGACGATACAGCTAATTTACATAGTGTGTCTCAACCAGTAGTCAGTAGGACATGTAAAAAAGTAGCGGAAATTTTGTCACGGAATTCCCGAGAATTTATTAAAATGCCTACTACTTTAAATGAACAACAGGAAACCATTAGGAAATTTCGCAGTATTGCTAATTTTCCTACAGTAATTGGCGCAATTGACTGTACTCACATACGAGTAAAGAAAGTGAATGCTGATGGGGGTCAGTTATATATTAATAGAAAAGAATTTTCTTCAATTAATGTACAGGTGATATACAAATATTTTAAATAGCTGTGATTGTCTCTTAATAGCTTTACTTTATCATAATAGAAAATAATTTGTTTGACTATCTTATGGTAATAAATATATATTAAAATAAACCAGAAAAACATAAAGTACTAATGAGCTCTTATTTTACAGGTGGTTTGTGATGCTGACCTGAAAATCATGGACATTGTTACCAGGTGGCGTGGTAGTGTACATGACTCCAGAATATTCCGAGAATGTAGACTAAAACAGAGGTTTGAGGCTGGTGCATTCTCTGGAATATTACTTGGTGACAGTGGCTATCCTTGTACTCCTTACCTATTTACACCGCTGCTGAACCCCACAACACCACAAGAAGAAAGATATAATAGGAGCCATATCCGTACCAGGAACACAGTGGAAAGATGTTTTGGTTTGTGGAAGCAATGGTTTCGTTGCCTATTAAGAGGTATGTTTGGAGATATTGAAACAGCAAAAAAACAATTGTTGCATGTGCTGTACTACACAATATGGCCATTGACATGAGAGAAGATGTGTTTTCTGGTGAGAGAGATAGCATTGAACAATATTCATCTGAACCTATAGTACAAAGATATATTACACCATCAATAAGGGGAAATATTAGAAGAAGACAGTTTATTGAAACTCATTTTCAGTAGGTAAACATTTTTTTTTACATATTTATATAACTATTTATAATTAAAATTTATAATTATATTTATAAAATTGTCAAATTTTTTTCAATTGTCTAAAGCTATGAATATATAATTTATTTTATTTTGTTATTCAGAGGCCAATTTTGGCTATAAAATTACATTAAAGATCAATAAATGTATAAGACAATTATAATAATATTTCTTTTTGATTTCAGACATAATACCCATTTATAAAGGAAAATATTTCTGCAGAGCCATTGTCAGCTGTCAAAGAATAACGACTACATATTCACCAATATGAAATAAATTCAGGGGAGTATTGTGATAATATTTCATTTATTGAGCAAAATGCTTTTATTTAGGCTATAAATGATTGTGTTTCAGGGAAAGATGCGGGGTACAGCACATTCCACATCAATATGAAGCTATATTATATAAAGATTTAAGTGCTGTAGAGATATGTTTAGATTTTTTAATAAATATCGTCCCTCTACATTCACAGCTGGATTTCCTTTCCAGAGGTGCAAGGGTCCACGGGGAGTAGGACTGTATGATAACTAAGTAAATAGGTTTAGTTTTTTTTATTATAGTTTTTTACTATTGTATATTATATTTCATTGTTATGTAAATAAAATGCATATTAATTATAATTATTTATTTTAATTATTAATAAAAGAAGTACAAATATTTGCATTAATTAAGTACCTGAAAATAATAGTTTCATATATGAGGATATTTACAAACATGTATCTGATATAGTATCAAATATTTAGTTTTTTTTTTTATAGGATAATGGTGATAAACACAGTCTACCACACACACACACACAGTCCATCTGATGTTAAGTAACTGCTGTGGTGCATAGACGTCCACATCTATCCTCGACTACAAATCAAAATGCAGATGCGTTGTCACCCGTGTGGAGTAAGATGGAATGCCTCGTTTCCTGTAAAAGAGGTCTCTCTCATACAAAATTTGTACAAAAATTTATCCAAAATTTGTCAATAAACAAGTTTAAATGTTTTATTAAAGAAAAATTTTATAAAAAGGTTATTATAATATCAAAGAATACATAAATGAAAATATTGGAAATACTGGAATTGAGGTGATCGCCACCATGGTGGTTCTATTAAAATTCATTTAAAAATTGTACAAATAAAATTATTGTTAAGAGAAATATGTTTATAAAAAAGTCCCACTGGGTTTCTTACTAGTTCTTCCCAGGACTGAGGTATTTTCCGAACCAGTGGTAAATAAAAAATGTCTTTCAATAAGTATTCTGTAATAATCTATATTTAATAAAAATCATTCTATTCTATTCTCGTTCTATAAACTCACCATAATAAACAGCAGCATTAAGCTGCTATTTAACTTGTGTTTTTCTGACTTTCTAATAAAGATATTTGTAACTCTAATTTTCTAATTTTTGGGTTAGCTATTTTAATATTGTATTTATGTTCCTCTTCCATCATTTCCAGTTGTCTTTTTTTAAAATCTGTGTTACTTTTTACAATTGTTTGGTGTACATCTTCTCTTCTGTAAAATGAAATGGAATACTTAATGTAAGTTTTGTAGTTATTTTAGACATTTACAAAGTATTCTAGAGTAATAAAAGTGCACTTAACCTTGTACACCAATTAAAGAAATATTTTTTAATTATTTTTAAATCAATTCATATTAAACTTTGCTTTTAATATTTGAAAACATGAAACAATTTTCAGTGTTTAAATACTAATTTTCACATTTTAAAAAGTATGTAATGTATCAGACTATGTAATTTTTTCAACATACCTATTTTGCAAGCTATTTTTCCTGTTTTTAATTTTTGTTATACCCCTAGTAATAATATCTTTATTGTTGGTTATTTTCACCATTTTGGCACTTTCTTCTGTATCTGTAGTTGGATCTATCTCTAAAAATTAATATAAATATAACAGTTTTAGAAAATTAACATTTATAATATTTACAAACTTGTATGCCTATGATTGTAACTATAATAATAATATATTTTGCTTTTTAATAAATATTCAATCAGTATTATTTACCTTGCACATATACAACATTGGGTTCTGGATTTTCTACATTTTTAACTATAGCTGTGTCTGTTTTTTCAAAATTAAAGCGAGGCTTAGGGTCAGCAACTTCTTTTGATGTTGTAGCCACAGTCACTGGATCCTAAAATAAATCATTAAAACATTTATTAACATGTTTTCCTGTCACCTGTCACCTCTATTTTGCCCTTTATTGAATCAGGTATTTTCTATGTTGTAGAAATATTATTATGATCCAAGACAAAAGGTAATTTAATAAATTATTAATTATAATACCTAATAGACAAAAATAGAAAATTATAATCGGACTGTGTAGATAATCTAGTAACATGTGTGTTATGATATTATATAGACCACTATATATTAATTTGTGACATTTCAATTTTGAATATAATTAATTATAAAGAAATTTATGTTAAATTGTTACTAAGTATATTAAATTTTGAATATTCGGAAAATAATTTTGGATTGTAAATTGTATGCTTTAAGAGTAGATTTCAGAGCACTACCTAGGTACTAAAGTAATGGAAAATAAAGTTCTTTACTTTTAATTAAATTTGTAAGACATGTAAGTAATTTTATTTACCACTGCATCACTATCATAATTATTAACTTCAACGATAAAGTCGTGAGGGGCAATGGACATTATTTCCAAGTCCTCAAGAGAAGGTGATGGAGGTTTTCCGCCACCCCCGGTCTTTGATTGTTCCCTCCTATATGTGTATAAGTTTGATTTAGCACACAATTTCATTCTTTTTCAAGATAATTTCAATTCACCATCTGATCGGCGTTTACCTGTTATCTCATTAAATCTAAAAAAAATACGAAATCACGTAAACAATACCGTACCTATTTGTACACATAACAAATGCGATAAGTACTTACTTATTAGTTATATTCTTCCACTCTTTTATTTTTTGAATATTTACCGATGTTTTTGTCGACTTATTCTCTATTATATGTGCTGATTGTGAAATAAGTGAACGTAATATTTCCTATAATAATAAGAACATTACTTTTAGTGGAAATAAGGATAATAGGAGGATAAGAGTATTGGTACGTACTGACAAATAAATTTCGATATTTCACTAACTTTTTCTTCAGAACTCCAATTTTCACCCCGTTTTTTCTTTTGTTCCATTATTATATAAATATAACTGTAATAGCAAGTACTTAATTAATTATTAATAATTTAATTTACTTATTATAAGGCTGCAATATAAACTATTTTGAACGTCTCGAATCCCGCGCTCGCGTTACCTCTGTAATTCACTACGTTTCACTCTAGAGTTGTTAAACTGAAAACAACTTGATATAATCAAAAGCGCGTCAAAAGTATATGTCGTGCTTGTTCAATAGATTTTAACGTAAACAAATAACAATGTATGATATGTTTTTGTATTGATGGATAATTATTTAAGCATAATTAAGTGTGAAAATAATATTAATATTTTATGAAACCGAACGTTGCATTGAATGAAACCTGTATGAACGAATGATAGAGTGTCATTTTTTGTTTTTTATCTGTGAATGATATTTAATATAATACTAACGTTGGTATTAACTGGTCCTCGGGTAGTCTGCGTTTTGTAATAAGCACACGTTTTAGTGCTGGTATTAACTAGAATATTGTAACAAACCTGGACTTCTTACTCCTAAACTTAACCCAGTACTAAAACATTTTTTTGGAATAAGACTGATAGGGTATATAAATTTCCTGCTTCTAAAACGTTTTTTATAGTTGTAGCACGAATGGGTCGGCTCGACCGGGGACGGATCATCTCACAGAATAGCAGCGTAAAATAGCAGCTTAATGCTGCTGTGTTTCTTGTGGTGAGTGTAGAGTAGCGGAGACACTTTTTATTGGAAAACAGGCATTCCATCCTAGTCCTCACGGCTGACGACGCATCTGCATTTTGATTCGCAAATGAGGAAATGAAATAAAATGAAGATTTATTTGCTTTGAAAAAGGGGTAAATTTAGGTGGTTATTATAAAGTGTAGTTCAGCTTTTTCAGCCATCTATAATAGCATGCAAATACATTTTTTATAATTAAATTAATTATATTACAATATAAAACTCAATTAAAATATTTATCGTCATGTCAGTGTTTACAAATTAGCAATACCAATACATACAAATTTAAATATAATTAAGATTAAAATTTAATTAAAAATATATAACTACTGTTCTGTCACATCATGTCAAATTTAGGTAGCCATTCACATTATAAAAGCAATGTTCATTTAGCCATCTGTAAAAGACGCCTTTAAATCTATTAAGGGGTAAGTCTTTTATATTTTGGGGTATTTTATTAAATATGAGAATACACATCCAGTAGCAGTTTTTTTTTAAATCGAGCACTCTTGGGTATAATTTCAGCAGCAAGTCTATTGCCGTTTCTTGTATTTCGTGTGTAAATCTCTTTCACTTGTCTGAAGTAATACATGTTTTGTTTTACAAACTTTGCAAGTTCAAAAATGTACAGACATGGGACGGGTAGTATTTTCAGAGATATAAATAACGGCCTCCAAGGCTCATCAGGTGCAGTGCCACATATTGTTCTAATACATTTTTTTTGGGCAATGAATGCCTTTTTTACATCTGTGCTATTACCCCATATAATGAGTCCGTATCGCAAAACGGATTCCACATAGGCAAAGTACGCAGTATGTGCTGTATTTTTTGTGGCTACTTTGCGTAGTTTGTAAAGTGCGTAGGAAAAACTATTTATTTTTTTACAAACATTTTCAACTAGACTTTTCCAATTTAGATTTTCATCTATCCACATACCTAGGAATTTTGTAATATTTGCACTTTTTAGGTTTTGTCCTTCAAAATTAATGTTCATTGTCTGGTATAATATGTCATTGATTTTTATAATATAAGTTTTGTCAAGATTTATAATTAGATTATTATTTTTAAGCCATTCTATTATTGTTTTTACTGTACTATTAATGTCATTAATATGGTCTTTTAGAGATTGTTTACCATCTGTTTTCACTATTACAGATATGTCATCAGCGAATAAAATGCATTTGTGTTTAGTTACTTTCAGAAGATTATTTATATAGACTAAGATTTTTTTTAATTTTTTAATTTTTATTGAAGAAGGGTGACAAACGAGCACACAGTCCACCTGATTGTTAGTGGTTTCTGTGGCCCATAGACATCTACATCTATCTTCGATTACGAATGAAAATGCAGATGCGTTGTCACCCGTGAGGACTTAGATGGAATGCCTCGTTTCCAGTAAAAAGGGTCTCCGGTTCTCTACACTCACCATACGAAACACAGCAGCAATAAGCTGCTATTTGACGCAGGTATTCTGTGAGAGCGTGGTCCTTCCCCGGTCGAGCCGACCCATTCGTGCTACGACCATAATATAGCTGCAGCATAGCTCTACCACGTATAAAAGAACAACAGTGGTCCCAAAACGCTGCCCTGTGAACTCCATATTTGTTTTCTTTAAAATCTGATAGATGTCTATGGGCCACAACAACAACATACCATCAGGTGGACTGTGTGCTCGATTGTCACCCTTATGCTATAATATATAAAAAAAAACGTAGCATAGCTGCGCTGCAGTTGTTGAATTTGTCGGAAGGACCACGCTCTCATAGAATACCTGTTCGAGCCACTTTTACACTACCGCCTAACGCCGTTCGTTAATTAACAATAACAATAAGGTTACTGCAGAGTCAATTTCCGGGTTTCCTATCTACCGCCTTCTATGCCTTTAGCATGCGCACTCTTGTGTTAAAGGGTTTCTTAAAAGACACAAGATACGCAACCAACCGAACAAGCAACCGCTATTATCTCCCGCCGTTGCACTCGTATTTGTGTAACTTAGTTATTAAGAGACACCGCACACTGCAGACTTTTTATCGGAATGCTAGTGCGCACACTGGGCCTATTAAACAATCGGGTTAGTGGTGAGTGCGCACACTAAACTATACAAAATTATCGTAAAGTGAATAGACATTTACAATAATGCTATATTTCGCGATTAACGCGTCTTCCTTAGTTGAATTTAGGACATTTGCAGCATCGCGAAAATATTAATTCCTATAATATAGTCCAAATTTAATTTATGCATAATCATCCTTTTTAATGCAATTCTACTCAGCTGCGCACCCATGTCAACGAGGGTTAAGGCGTCCCCCCAAGGCGACGCACACCAGCTCGTCCCCGTTGGTGTGGAATGCAGCGCGCAAAGCGGCGATGGGGACCGCCACCCGTCACGCACAGCCCGACACGGCGGAAGGTGGAGGACGGAGTGCAGAGTTGGCACGTGGAATGTTAGAGGAGGCATGAGAGATAAGACGAATGAGTTGATCGAAATAATGAAAGAAAGAGAATTAGATGTCGTGTGTATGTCGGAGACCAAACGGAAGGGCAGTGGTACTGAAGAGCTCCCTGGCGGGGCGTTTGCTCTATGGTCCGGAGTCCCGGAGAGCGAGAACGCCTGCCAGGGAGTGGGGGTGCTGCTGTCTTCTCGGTTGGTCGATGTTATGACTGAATATAAGATTGTGAACTCAAGACTTCTCTGGGTTCGCTTTAAATTGGGACTGACGAAGTTATTCCTTTTGGCTGCTTATGCGCCGGTGGCTTCGTCGTCCAGGGCTGAGCTGGAGGAGTTTTGGGAGAATGTAAGAGAAGTTCTAGATTTGGCTAGGGGAAACGAAAGGATTGTTGTATGTGGTGATTTGAATGGATGGGTTGGTACCGCTCGACCAGGGTACGAGTCGGTACTTGGAAAGTTTGGCGATAAAAGGGTTAATGATGCTGGCAAGCTTATACTGGCGGTATGCAAGGAAAAGGGTCTTCTTGTGACAAACACTATGTTTAATCACAAGAAAATCCATATGTATACTAGAGAAAGAAAGAATGAGAGAAGTATGATCGATTTGTTC